CGGCTCACCTGACGCGTTCCAGCCTGGCTTTTTAAATTGATCTTCTACTTAAAACACTTGTTTTTTAAGCGTTTTTGTATATATGCAAATGCGAAATCGCATGCTGTGACGACCCCGGTGTATGTATGTGTGTGCGTAAGTGTGTGTACGTGCGTCTGTCCGGATATTTTAACTCGACGTCCAAGCAAGCCCTAGCGCCAAAATGCTGCCGGTGGCTTCCCCGGCCAAGCGCCACCCTAGGACCGCGGTACCGACCCTCACGCAACTCTGGATCTTGCGTACGAGGGGGTGAAGTTTTTGGGGGGGAAATGGCTAACTCGAGAACCAGGAAAGCCGAGGGTTGAAATTTTCAGAGAATGTTCTTAGCAAATGTACAGCTTAAGCTTATCATATTCATTCCCAGGGCAAGCATGGCCCTCACGCACGACCCCGTGAAATTTTTTCGTACGAAAATGGATAATTCGGGAACCAGGAAGGCTAGAGAGCTGAAATTTTCAAGGGATGCTCCCAGCCCATGTACAATGTAAATTTACCAAACTCATCACGTACGGCCTCGTGAAAATTTTTGGCAGGAAAATTGCTAGCTCAAGAACCAGAAAATTTTCAAAGCTAAAATTTCAATGAAATGTTCCCTGTCCAAATACCCTTAACAATTAACTTCCCGGACTTCCAGGACCGGTATATCACACATTTCTAGCTACTGTGTCTCCGAGCTATCTCATTACAGCACGAAATATTGCAAAAACGCAAGATTGCACGGGTTCGCGCAGTGCACGTCACCAATGATTATTATTTATAGCTTACACCATTCCGGCGTTATAAAGCTGCTTTCGATTTTGACTAAATTCATAATCCCTGATGTAGTTTGAGTCTGAAAGCCGACCCTAAACCATGCGCAGCCATAGCCTCAAAATTTTGAACATTTAATCCCCCTATACTAAAATTCTAAACTTAAAACGGAGGAAAAGAGTGTGCCAAGTTTGTGGTACCCTGTGAGACCGAATCTGCGCTCTCACTATTTCGACTTTCTGGATTTTTTGGCTCTGGAGCCGAACTATAAGGACAGCAAACAAAAACATACAAACACGCGTACCCACCACAAATCATACATATAAACACGTGGTGCATATGTGCACCCATCAATATGATCATGATGCCTTGTGTAAATATTATATAAGAACGCATGTGCATTGACGGGAAGAAAAATCGAATGATTTGTAAAGTGTGGAATAATTGGAGCAGAAAGCAAATGTCGCTGGCAACTTCTGACTCAGTGAAAGCAAAGGAGCTGAGCTGCGGGCAGCAGCCGGAGACAAGGATGAGCGGAAAGAAGCAGTGTTCAGCTGCAGCTGCGGGCTGTGCATTGCTGGTTGCGGGAATCACCCGTACCACGAAGCTTCTAGCATCTGTCGTTGGCATAATTGCATCCCCGTTGCTCCGCCAACATCGTCCCAAATCACAGACGTTCTCACCCACTGAAGCTGATTTCGAATCACTTCTGCAGCAATATCATCGCCCAACATTGATGGAAGTTGCTTCGTCATAAGTAGATGCCCTGAATGTTCACTGGGCGATATAACTGCAGCTAACTGCTGTTCCTGTTATTCATTACTCTTCGCTCAGGGCGAATATGAACCAAGAGTTTCAAAAAGACGAATCTTGACTCATAATTAAGTATATGTTCGCAACGACTTGCTCGGCATTTTGCGATCTTCACTGCGTTCAGCTAACCATAATTTACTACAGCTGAATAATGGCTCGACAGAAATAGCTGCTGATTCCAGCGGATTCTTTCTTTTATTAGCAAAGTTTACAAATTAGTGAGGAAATTTGGTGCCCTTAACTTAAACGGAGGGACGGCGATCTCCTTACCTCTTGAGTGCATCACATGTCTAAAACACAGACTGGAACGCA